TATTAATTCAAATTTGGATATTTTCGGACATTGTATTGATAATAATATTTCCCATCGTTTTGCATCAAGTAAATGTTTCCAACCCCATAGAAATAAATCTTTTAAATTCGGTACTTGTTTTAATATATATTCAACATGTTCAAAAGTAATTTCATCTGATAATTTAAGATTTAAATGAATACATTTAGGCATTAATGGTATTGTAAATATTGTTTTTTGCTCTTGTTTCACATTTAAACTCAATTCATAATTTGTACAAAATGATTTAACATGTTGTAAAGCGGAAATTAGCTTAAGCAGATCATTGAATGTTAATGAATCAATTGAAAGATATTGAATATGAGTTGTTTTAGTTGTTGTTACTAATGAAGGAATTGAAGATCGCCGTCTATGTCGACCACATGTATAGATCTTAAAGACTTTTAATAAAGGACAAAAATCATTATTAAATATTGATCGAATAATAAATTCTTTTTCATCGATACAATTCTCACGAGTAGATGTCGTCCAAAATTTTATTTTTAATATTTGTAAACATTTTAACGACGAAAGTTGATACCAAAATTGAAATGATTTATCGTTTAAAGAATACATACAATTTAAAGATAATGAACGAAGTTCTTCTAATGAATTTAAAGGATACATGGTAAAAAACAATTTTGTTTTTTTGTCGTCTTGTAATTTTAATGATCGGATATTCATAATATTCATCGATGGAACAACATATTTCAAAAAGTATGCATAATTATTTGGACTAATCAAATCTAAATGTATCATTGTTTGATCAATAATTGCATCGATTTTTTTATTCAAATTACGAAATGAAAATCGTATATCTCGGAAATTCAAATAATCAAAAATTTCTCGCCATAATTCTACAGAAAGTAATTCAATAGTACTTGAATATCCAATCGACATTTTCAATCTGAAATTAAAATCAAAGTACAATATCAGTTTACAATTTATTATCTACTTATTTCATATTGATAGAGTTTAGATCTACGTGATTCCAAGAAAGAAAGAAAGAAAGAAAGAAATATTGGTATACTTCTTCTCTTGATTATTCTTTTTCGTTTATAAGGTTTTCGCTTATTTGTTATTGGAACGTTTAAAGAACCAATGAGATAAATCAAGATAATATTGTCATTCATGATCAGGAAAGAATTTATCTTGATGATGTGAAACATAACGTGAGTGAGGGTGTCATTAAGTTTTTGCTTATGAACGTTCATTCGTATCCTTAAGATGGAACGAAATGATATATTCTTATTTGAAGGGTGAAGAGTGTGTATATACGTCAGTTTTCTCTTTCCACTCATATTCACATCTTGATCACTTCGAATGGATAGGAAGGTCCGAATAATCTTTTTCACAGTTCTTCAGTCAAAAAGAAAATGGTCTTATTAATAATTGAATCATCAGTGTTTTCTAATGAATAATATTGTAATTCATTGGTTTATATAATATACAATCGAGGCGAGACATGCATGACAATAAAGAATAAATGCAATTAAGATATCAATTTGCAGAGTAAGAAAGAGAAAAAAGCATATTATTTCAGTTGACACGTAAAAAAGAAAGTTTTCTTCAACTAATGAGCTGTGCAACAGTCACATGAGTTGAAAAGAATACTCATACTGTATCACTCCTTTGATAAGTTTCATCATTGATGTCAAAAAGATCTATTTGGTCATCATTATTGAAGTCTTGTAAACTAATTACATCTAAAATACTACCATAATAGTAGATAGTGAGTATTATAATTGGTTCTCGAAATATTCCACGATCTGTACCAATAAATATGCCAACAATTGGTTCTGGACTACTAGTGTAAATAATGTCCAAGTAGCCATCATTATTTAAATCATTGATAATAGTTTTATTTGAATATTTAAAATATCCAGTGGGAAATGTCACTTGTTCTTCAAAATTTCCATTACCTTTTCCAAACATCACACCTATGCTATTCGAATTTTCATTGACTATAACGAGATCTAAATTATGGCCACCATTCAATTCACCTATAGAAATTGCATATAGATCACTAATACGGCTAACAGAAAATGTCATTATTACATCAAAATGACCTTGACCATTATTAATTAAAACATAAATTATTCCATCAGAAGGATCATTATGATCAGAATAATCATCATCATTCAAATCACCAGTAAAAGCAGAGAAAGGATCAATACAAATGTTGTCAAAATATGTCATGATAGTATCAAATGATCTATCAATATTTTCCATAAAAAGAACTATATTATCTGAAGCAAAATTTATTACAGTTCCATCTAAATAACCGTCTTTATTATAGTCATTTGCAACAAGTGAAACTGGTTCACTTTGAAATCCAGTATATAATGTTCTTTCTATTTCAAAACTTCCGTTATTAAAACCAATTAATAAAGCAATATTATTCGAACCCCGATGAGCGATAATAAGATCTATAGAACCGTCATCATTGAAATCATTAGCAACAATCGCAAATGGACATAGACTTCCAGTTATAAATGGAATTACCTTTTCAAATGTCCCATTTTTTTGTACTTTCATACGAAATAAATATCATATTCCGCGCACAACTAGTTATCGCAACATCTAATTGATTATCGTTATTAAAATCAGCAATAGTTATTGAGTACAAATCTATAATGTAATCATCACTTATCGGATATGAGATAATTGATCGAAATGTTACTTACGCACATGTCCAAGAACGACAAGCTGATGATTATTGTGATTTTTATTATTAATTAAAAGTATTTCCATAATATTGCTTTTCACATGTGACCTCCGGTCATCTTGCGAATGTGGATAGGAGTAAGAAGGTGAACTCGTGTATCAGTAAATTCACTATAAGTTCTTCGAAATTCTTTGAAAACAGATTTTACTATATATCATTCGATGTCCCTTGAAAAGCACCACAAGAAAGTATATTGATCTCTTATTCTTGACTAGGTTAACTCATTCGACAAGACTCTTTTAACATCGGATCACGAACTTTGAGTACATCCTAAGTATTATATAATAGAGAAGAAAATTTCAAAGAATACTTGAATCTGTATTCAGATTATAAGAAAATGTGTTATGACAGAATCACATTTTCAAGAATGCTTCTGTTCTTTTACCGTTTATTCTTCGACAAGTTATTCATTATATAATTTCACTGAAATCGGTAACATCGTTAAAATCTCCACAGATTTTTCTCAAAAATATCTTCTATGATAATCTTATCATTATCTTAAGAATGACAAAACGAGAGCATAAAGATTGAATATCTTCAAAATCTTGAATATATGATATTATGAACTTATCGATAAGAAGAGAAACATATAGTCGATTAGCATATTTTTGATGTTTGATCATAGTATCATGATTTTGTATGTTTTTTATTTTCATCAGGAATAAAAAGAAAAAAACAAGAAATATTTTTTGTCAGTGCCAAACAATGTTATTTTACATCGAATTATTTCACCAAGTGCACAAAAAAAGATTTTTATCGGCAATTCTACAATGATTTCACTTTAAGAACTGTACGGACTAAATTTGTATTTACCTAAATGAGAAAGAAGATATTTTTTGAAGAGGAAATGGGAAACTTGAGGAAAAAAACGAGTTTCTTAGTTTGAACATTCTTCTATAATAAAAATAAATATTTTGAGAATGAGAACTGACTGCGTAAACATTATACTTGTATATATGAATTCCCACTGACACCATTTCGTGTATTATGAAAGATTAATATCATTTTCATACACGAAATGTTAAGTAATTGTGATTTTTTCTGAACAACTTCATGAAGACGATGTTATTTGTATTTCTTTTTTGTCTTCGTCTCACGGAATTTCCATCCTCTCTTCTGTTGATCGAATTCGATTCTAAACCGAATGACCGTGATGTGTTTGATATAATATCACCGATGTGATCGTTTTTTTTATAAAAAAAAATTTGGCTAC